TAATTCTCACAATTAGTTATTCTGTGGTTTTGCATTGACCTGTGCAGTTCTCTTCCCTATGTTGATAATGAAGGTTGATAACTACTGTTTATAATTTTCTTGGACTCCAATTATGTCCATGCTGTATGGCATAAACATTGGGGATGCAAATATTTACTTTTCAAGATTTTAACTATCTACACAACTGTAGTTTGAGAAATTTTTATTCTTTTCTGAGTAATGAGTGCTGAGAGTTGGTACCTTTTCATTCTGCTAAGGGTCTCTATTAATCTAAGTTTTCATAATGTAAGCATTCTCTTCCACTTCAAATTATTTTCATGTCATGTAGATTCACCCTTCATCAGTAACAATGGGCTCTTACAAAGCTTATAACTTTGATCTCCACTTTCCAATATTTGTCAAAATTCTTGATATATTCAAAATAGTATAATTCATGGGATTGTACCAAGCCAATTTTTCCTTCATTAAGTTAAAGAACACATTACTTTTGGATAAAGCTTGCAAACATGAATGTAGACACTTCAATGTAATACACAGATCATCATTAAAAGTATAAAATATATACTTCCGTACAAATGTATACTTTTAATATTTATTTAACAAAATTTATATATATAGGTAGAATTCAATGTGATAAAATGAAAAAAAATCTAAACATAAAGCACCATCCTATCACTAAAGAACTCCATGACCTTCACATAATTACTGTACTTTCCTGGATCCCCTTTTTAAAAATCTGAGCAAATTCATATAGTTCTTTCCCTGTGCCAGGATTAGAGTTTTAGTTTTGTGGCTGTCAGCATTTTTCAAGTAGGCAAAACTTTAACGGAAAAAAGCTTTTAGACAGAGTGATAATTTCAGAGGAGAATACAAAAATTCTGTTTACAGATGCTCTTATTAAAAACATTATATAGGAAGGACTGTAGATTAACAATATGATCCTTATACAAAAATGTTAAAATTAATATTGGCAATGCAAAGGATTAGATGACTTCTACAGTTTTAAATTATGTCGACAGGTAGATCTGAATATTTTTAGTACAGTATTAAAAATCCGAGGTTTAGCTTTTTAAATTGTAGCAATGTATTTATCTTTCTTTAGTAAATACTACAATCTTACTCATGTTCAAAAGCATTTAAACATTCCTAGAAAGGAAAGAACACACAGTGTATTCTTGTATGTTCCTGGACACAAGTTAGCATAGAACTATTTTTCTCCCTTCCAGGCTCATAAAAATGAACAAATTTGCTTTCTATTAGTATATTCCTGGTATACATTATATTAATGAAGATATTAACTTAAAAGCTGGTAAAATAGAGCTTAATAATCGATATGCTTGTGTGGCTTGGTATCCTCAGATATTTTAGTCAAATTTCTTTGTTCTTATGATCAAAAAATACATCTGAAAACCACCATCAGCTATAGAATTAATATGTGAATAATCACTCTTTAGTCCCTATTATAAAATCCCCATTTTAATATGTTAACATATTTTTATGATTATAAACATTGAAATATGAATCTACGCCTCTTGATACAGTAACTTAAATATGACCCTTAAGCTTGTTCTCCTTTGTGGCATTAACCATTTAAGAGTGTCCTGCAGAATACTAGCATTCTTTGTAAATAAGATCCTATGAACAAATTTTGGGGATAGGTTGCAGTCAACAAAGTGAATTCAATTCTGTTACTTTTGTTTCAGCATCAGTCTGCCAGAAAAATCTTATTTTAGCACTGGACTCAATTTTATTTGATATTTCATGGGACTAGAAATATTGCACAGAAATATTTTGAGAAGCACAGTTGTGTTTAAAAACAATTTACTTAAAAAAAAAGTCTTGAAATACAATAAATCAAAGGCCACGGTATACCTGACCTCTGCTATGTTGAGCTGCTTTCTGGGAAGGGAAGGGATGGGATTGCCACACACTTCTCATAAATTTTAATGTTTGAACAGTATTATTCTTTAGAAGTGCAAGGGGAAATTCAAGTTGAAGCAAAAAGTGTTTTCTAGTAGAAACTCTACAAAAAATTGTAGAAAAACTAGTAGGAATAAAGTTGTAATTTTACTGTAAGGTTTATTATGTGAAGGGTTGAAGAATTGCTAGTTGAGAAAAATTGCTATTTTCTTATGTTAGGCTGAAAGTTGAAGGGTGGAGATTGCTTGTTTTGTATATGAATTATTTGTTTACTTTTTATAGGAAGAAAACCGACATAAGGAAATCCCTGAGAGTTTTCAATGCTGATTTCTCCAAATGGGCTATTGCTTCTGAGCTATTTTTTCAGTGTGTCATACAGTCTTTGTATAATTTATAAATGATAACAAAACAATCAGGCCACATTCATAAAAGCCCAATGACACATACTTTGGTTGAATCTGAAGATTAGAATTAATTGTCTCTCTTTGTTCCAAGTTCTAAATCTTAGTAAATGATTCACTGCATGTCATTACAGCTTAATATTTGCATGAAATCGCAGTTTAGCTGGCATAATTTCACAGCAATTAAAAAGCTATTTAATAGTCATGCAAATTGGTATGAGAGCCCTTAAGTGAGAAGGGTGTCAGTATTTTTATTTTTTTTAATATCCCCAGGCTGACAGTTATATACTTGTAGACACCCATAACATAATTAATAACATTCTTCCTACTCATGGAGGTGTGAGTAATAATTCATGTTTTCCATTAGAAATAAGAGAAAAAGCCAACAATATGAAAATGTCATTCTGTAGGAAGATATTATTATGTTAATGGTAATGAATTTTCATCTCCCAGGTATAAGTCTAGGTTGAAGGTAAAAAGCACATTTGTTCCTTTGCTCAGGTTTATAATCTCTTCCATATTTTCACAATGGAAGGCAGCAATTTCTGTAACACCTCTGGAACATGAAAGGGCATAAAGCAAGTCACTCAGCAAACTTTTAGGAAAATTACAGTTCTATATCTAGCTTTAGGACATATATAAACAGGTAGGTGGTTGAGTTCCTTACCCTACAGGTTGGTGATGTTGGGATCTGGCAAAAAGAAAAAGGGAAATATATAATAACACTTCTTAATCGCTCAAAGTCAATATGGAGTCAAGGGGGTTTATGATTCATATTATGTTGTTCTAACACTAAATAAAATATTTCACTGCTATGTCCTCTGTTCCCATTCAGACAATTTACCACATTGCATCCAGAATATTCTTTTCAAAACATATCACTTGCATACATAAAATCTGTTTTCTCTTTTTATACTTAAGAAATGTCCAGATTTATTCCGATAAGTCCTAGTAGTTGTAGTATGAGCCTTGTCCAGCCTCTTCCTGTTCCTTAAAACTCACTTCATACATCTTACTGTTCTCTGTAGCCACAATGCTTTTTGTCAGTTCTATAACTATTTAAAGACCTTTCTTGCCTAAAAACCACACACTTTTGATCGTTAATATTGTTTCTATCCTTCTCCACACCCTCTTTATCAATTCCACAAGGTTTTCTCAAAGTGTTACTAAAAGTAAGGATCTTGCTGGTAGTTTTTATTTCTCCTCCTGTCCTTTAAGTTTTATGATTGTGTTTATTATAATTTGTATTTATTTAGTATTTATGTACATTAGAATTCCACTAAAATGCAAATAACAGAGCAACTTGCCATCCTTACCACTGTGTGCCTAAGATCTAGCAAAGTATCTTCCACATATTAATCACTAAATTAAATATCTAATGAATGTGGCTTGAAATATCTAATGAATGAATGTAGCTTAAAATTCAAAAGAGACCTACATCAAAACTTGAATTTCTTTCTAGGAGGAATATTTCAGAGAAATTCCTTCCCACCCTCTTTGCAGATTTTCACAGAAACCAAAATTAAGAGAATTGGTTTGAATTTCTTAAAAGGAAACCTAAATTATGCCAGGAATGTTGGTTGATCAGCCATTTATACAATGAGTTATTTTTCAAAACATCTATTGATAAGTATTAGTCTCATAGTATATAAATTTTTTGATATTTTGTATATAGTACTTAGTGCCACACTGGCATCAAATTAGTCCTTAATGTAATGTTTCTTCGGTGACTAATAAGAAACTGAGTTTTGAAGGACTCAGATAAGTGAAAAAGCATAATTTTAAGAAAAGTATGGAGTGATGAAATGCTATTTATTTTTGCAGTGTGATCTGTATAGAGAACTAGTGAGAAAGAAGGTGATCACTCCTTTGAAACAAATTGGTTTATGTAGCCTTTTGAAAAATAAAAGGATTATGTGAGGTCTCTTTTAGGGACATTCTTACATAAGTGTTACTTGCACTTAGTAAATTTGATCTAAATAAAAGTCTAGTGACCATATCTTTTATATTGCCCATTTTATCCCAACTATGTGCTGCTTTTATATCCACAAATTGTCAAGGCCTTAGGAAAAAGACTTTTGCTTCTTCCAATGTCTGTTTTTCTTCTTCTAAATTATCACTTTAAACATATAGTCATTAATTCTCAATTTTTGGGCAACAGATTCTGAATCATTTTCAAAGGTAATGAATATAGGTTTTATCTACATAGCAATCATGGTATAAAAAGTAAAAGATTGAATACAATTTGTTTATATGTGTATATATATTATTTTCTAAATTTAAAAATGATATTGTAACCATTAATAATTATAGTTATCACATAATTTTAAAATCATATATATATATATATATATATATTTCAGTCAACAAATTGCAGAAATGAAGTTACCATATATTTTGGAGATCGGGTAACTTTGACATCAAATATTGGAATTCATACACCCAAAAGTTAGAACACAGACTTTTCTCACCTAAAAATTCCTTTCTCACTAGACTGAATTTACTTTAATTTTCTTTCTATATTATTTTATCTCTTTTTATAATTTTATTGCTGTAGTTTCAAGTAAAAAGCTCCAACTAATATGAAAACCAAAAAAATATTTATGGGTAAAGTTTTCAACTTAGCACTCTAAATGCATTATCCTATACATGTACATTTTTTAAATTGCTTTTCTCTAGGACCACCTTCAGCTCCTAGGAATGTGGTTTTTAACATCAATGAAACAGCCCTCATTTTGGAATGGAGCCCACCAAGTGATACAGGAGGGAGAAAAGACCTCACGTACAGTGTAATCTGTAAGAAATGTGGCTTAGACCCAAGCCAGTGTGAGGACTGTGGTGGAGGACTCCGCTTCATCCCAAGACACACCGGCCTGATCAACAATTCCGTGATAGTACTTGACTTCGTGTCTCACGTGAATTACACCTTTGAAATTGAAGCCATGAATGGAGTTTCTGAATTGAGTTTTTCTCCCAAGGCATTCACAGCTATCACAGTGACCACGGATCAAGATGGTAAGTTCCACTGCTGTTCTCTCAAACAGCATTCCTTTTTATGCATTATATCTCTGATGGGCTTCTACTCACTGTAGGCGCAATGCAACTGTATATGCTAAACACTACAGACATTTGCTGGTTGTTTTTCTGGTTCTTTCCCAAGATGCAGAAAGATTGTTTTTCATTTTATTGGTACATTTTAGGTATACAGTATAATGACATTCATCACTGGGAATTTGTAATCTTTATGTAATCTATCTTGGTTCTTATTTTTTCCCCATCCCCCTGCCCTCCCTTCAACCCCTCTACCCCTCCTTATTTACAAAGACTTTATTTCCATTTTTTCATTTTCTCATATTAATTTCACTCCCTTCTTTTCTTTCCCCTAACCCTCCCACTTCCCCTTTTCCTTTGCCCCTTTTCTTCCTATTTCACATCATCTATTATACCTTTTAGTCGTTATTTACACTTTCAGTTTCTCACACAAGAGAAACTATTCGGTATTCACACGTGTCCTATTTATTTCACTTAAGAGTATTGCCTCAATGTGCATCCATTTAGCTATACATGTATCTAATTTCTCATTCTTTATGGCTGAGTAGTAAGAACCATAGCAGAGCTATATATGTGCACCAATGTTCATAGCCGCGAAGCTTGTAATTACTAAAACTTGGAAACAGCCCAATTGCACATCAACTGGAGACTGGATAAAGAACATGTGGTGTTTTTAGAAAGATGTTGATATTATGTTTTGGCCATATAAAATGACTCTTTTTAAAGTGTATATATGTATGATTTAATATTATACTATACCAATGTCTCTTTTTATTCAGTAAGTTTATTGGTACATTTTAGGTATACATTATCACATCTAACATTGGGATTTGTACTTGTACGTGATATATCTTGGTTCTTGTTTTTTCCCATTTCCCTTCCCTCCTTTCCAACCCTCCATACCTCCCTATTTACAAAAGCATTGTTTCCATTTTTCCCTTCTTTTCTCATTTTATTTCTTTCTCTTCTTTCCTTTCCTCTACCCTCCTTTCCTACTTGTCCTTCCCCTTTGGATCTTTTCTTCCTTTTCCACATTAGCTATTACAGCAGTGTCTCTTAATGAGTAAGTCCATATTACTTAATAGGGAACACCAACCACAAATAAAATGTTGCCAAATGAATTAAATTTCAAATTTCTACTATCTTCTATTGTTTTTCCATGTCACATAAAAAATTAGTAAGAAATTTTAATTACAATTCATGTCTGTAATATTAAAGCATTCTACCTAACATGTTTAACCATGATCCACTGTGAAAAGACACACACATACAGAAGAAAAGAAAAGAGAACAGAGAGGTATGCAAATGCTGTTATTCATGTGCTATTTGTGAGAAGTTATTCAACTGTCTTAAAAAATCTGAAAAATTCAGTTAAATTTTCTTTTTATAACACTATAAATTTTTATTGTGATGTAGTCAGGCACAGACCCGCCTATGATTTTTATATGTATATACTCTTTAATTTCCTTATAACACAATTCTATTGAAAACATGATACAAGAAAAGATTCAGAGATTCAAAACACCTCCTTTTAAGAAGTGTTCATGAGTAATGTGGCTGCACAAGTGATTGTCTTACAGCAGAAATCATTATAAGTGACCACATGTATATGATACAAATTTAAAAGGTAAATCTTGTTTTAAATATTGTATTAGTTTACTAGGGCAGCCATAATAATTAGCACAGACCATGGCTTAAAAGAGATTTATTTTCTCACATAAGCCAGAAGTCCAAAGTCAAGTAATCAACAGGTGTGATTTCATTCTGGGGCCTGTCTTGGCTTAGAGATGCCCATCTTCTCCCATGTCTTAACATGGTCTTTCCTCTTCAGCTATAATCTCCTAATGTCCTTTCCTTATAAGTCATCAGTTGTTGGAGTAGGGCCCACTTGTGTGACCTCACTTTATATTAATGACTCTTTAAAGCTCTATACTAATACAGTCCCATTCTCCAGTACTGAGGGTTAGGACTTCCACAGACAAATTTTTGAATGCCACAATTCAGCCCACAACATACATTAAAACAGAATATTGTAATATTTAAGAGGAAATGATATTGAATATAATGGAATACTACTCATCATTATAATAAAGAAACTATTGATACATACAATTTGGATGAAATTCAGAGGCACTATGCTGATTGAAAAGCTCATTTTAAAAGGATTCATTCTGTCTGATTCCATTTAAATAACATTCTTGAAATAATAACATCATGCAGCTGGAGAAAAGTTTAGTGGTTGCCAGGGATTAGGAATTTGGGTGGGGGGGTGATGTGCTTGTAAAGGGTTAGCATGAATGAGCACCATGGTGATGATACAGTTATGCTCCAGTTATGGTGGTAGTTACAGAAAGCCATGTGTATGATGAAATGCACAGAGCTACACACACACACACACACACACACACACACACACACAGAAGCCTTCTGGACTGTGCTGACATCAGCTTCCAGTATTTTTGTTGTGTTATAGTTATGCAAATTGGAGAGGCTGAGCAAAAGGTGTACAGGATCTTCCTGTATTTTTATTTTTTTATTTTTGCAAATTTCTATGAACCTATGATTATTTCAAAATGCAAAGTCATAAAATATTACTAAAACTGCAAATACATAGGACAATGTAAAAATTCTTCTGAAAGTATATGTGAAATTCATGTGAATATTTTATTTAAAATATTATGGATAAATCTACCTGATGATAATGTTCAGAAATACCTCCAGTAATAAAGCACAGTCAAATAATATTATACAAATTACAGTCTTTGTATTACTAAGCAATTTTTCCCTTCATTTAGAAAATAGCTCTACATGATAGAATTTGCATTATGGTTCAAAATGGAATTCCTATTTCCTCTTTTTTTCTTTCCTTCTCTTTAGTAGGAACACAATCTTGTCAAATGTGTTAACAGTGAAAGGCAGTTTAGGATTTTCTTTTTGTGCCTGCTTTAGTGGTTTATTTCTTAGACTTTTGTTGCTGCCACCTGATCCAAAACTACAAACTACTATAACCATTCTTAACAGCAGGGTACAAATAATTAAATTTGGGAGAAAATAATATATTATTTTAAATAAAATACATATAAAATATAGAAATTCATACAGACAGCAGCCTTTTATTTATAGGATTACAAGAGAGTTCATTTTATTTTTTTAAATGAATAGAATATCAGTTTTTTTCATTTTTAAAATAAAAACTCGCTAAAAGTGTATTGCTACATGTGAAAATGGTGAATTAAACATTAAATAAGATATAGCATCCATATATTAAACATATGTATTCTAGATGGGTAATTTCATTAAGCAATCTTTACCAGTGCATTTTTGTTGAAGAATATTAAGAAACCATTATTGTTAATTTAATTGGTATTTATTCCAGATATAAATACTAACTAAAACCAAAATATATTTCAACTTTATATGAAGGTACATGAAGATTCTCAACTAAAGCATTGCCACATACATTTTTAGTGAAAGATTATGACCAGCCCTCCATAGGAACAAACTTCCTCCATGTCTTAAAAAAATGAGAGAATAAGAAGACCCTCTGTGCTTGAAGCTCTCAAGTTAGGGAATCACATGTGTGAGAATGTAAATATTCCAGGCAGGGATAATGTTATAAAATAAACCAATCTGTGGATCTATAACTTATTCTTCTATATTCAAAGAGGTCAGAGCCTACTGTTGAATTTCAAAGGAGTTTATAGAAGCTGGGATGTTCTAGAACCACATTCTGTCACTATTGTGTATCAGCCAGAAATAAGAGAATTTTACAATTGCAGATGGAGGAAGGGATTTTTTTTCACTCCACTTCAAATAGCAGTGGAAATTTTCCTTCAACCGAGAGGTGCTTCCCACAATTATCCAGTAACATATCCCAATGTCACTGGACTGAGGGACCACAGTAAAATGGTTTGTTTTATCATTTGAAGGTTATATATCATTAATTTATACTGAAGTAGAATACAAGTGCTAGTCATAAATTTTCAATATATTAAATATATTTTTGAGTGTGTTCTTTGTGTACCATTTTGAGTGAACTCTTTGAACTTTAAAGTCTGGTGGAGAGCCTGATGATAATAATTTTTAAAATACATAATCAGTCCTGTGTATGACCAGCTAAGAAGCTCGGGGTACTCAGAGAGCTCAAGCATAAGGGTGAATCTGTCCAAGGAAGTAACAGTTAATTTAAGTTCTGTTCTGAGGAATGAGTAGAATGTTATTAGACAAAATAAACCTGGGAGAAAGGAAAGAATTCTGAATAAAAAGAACCAAATAAAGGTTGAGAAATGAGTGATGAGGGATCAGCGATACATGTTATGGGATTTCACAGAGGTGCAGCAGGATTCTGGAGAGGAACTGAAGAGTTCATCTAAAATTTGGAAACATGAATGGGTATCTTTAAGTAGCTGAGAAAAGTCAGCCACTTATCAGAAGATGCTGAGATATCATCAGAGTGACAACTAGGGGAAAGAAAACAGAATAACATTGTTCATGAGGTCATACTTGTATTGAGTATGTAAATAAAATATTGGAGACCAAAAATATAGGTAAGAGTATTCTTTATATTGATCTCTTGTGTACGTAGTGTAGAATACAAACTTAGGAAGTTTCATACAGGTTTTCCTTTTCTTTCAAGTACCCAAAACTCTTTTCTCATACTTAAGAAATACTAAGAAAAGCACATCAAACAACTCTGACTTAATTGTTTGCTCTCTGTTTACAATTAAACAAATGTAAAATTTTGAAAAGTCTTTCTAAATCACTTAGAAGCACTTACCTGTAGTTAGGAGAAATGTTCCTTGATTATTCTGGTTATAGTTGGATAAATAAAATTATAGAGTTAAGACTATGTCTTCCATAATTAGAAATCTTTTGAATAAATCCTAATTAAATAACTTCCTCAATCCCTAAGAGGTATATTTGCAATGTTCTTTTTTCATAGCTTATTTAAATAGTCCCGAAAG